GAAAGAGTCATACAAACAGGTTTTAGGCCTAAAACCTCCAAGGATCCTGTCTACATCCTCATACTGAATAAACTGAAAATATCCCGAAGAAGTGGACAAATTGGCACCCTGGCAGCATCTGACCCTGACATCGCTAATGTAGAGTCGAAGTCAGAATAGATGTGAGAGATTTTATTTGCAAAGTGCTGAGCAAAATAGTCACAGTGGGCCACCGAGCAGTCTACCTCTTCCTTCAGGCCAAATCCCAACAGGTCTTTGATGTGTATTAGAGGAAAATACAATGTAGTATTTCTTCCCAGGTTGGGGACATCAGAAATCTCGCAGATTTTATTAAACCCTCTGTGTGCTTTACTCATTATTTATATATAAAATCCCCTCCCTTTTTATTTGTAGTCTTAATTAAACATAAGAGGTAATGGCTTGTATCCAGGGCAATCTGCTAGTGTATTTTCCACTTAGCCCCCTAGATGTTTTGTCCCAGGGGATTGGTGGACCCTCTTGAACAGAAGAGGGGCAAAGTAGGGGTCTGCAGTGGGAGGGGGGATTAGCAGAAATCACCTTATCTTCTGATGATGAAAACGTTCATCTGTCATTGGAAACAGATGGTTAGGATACAAGCTAGTATTGTTTCAACAAAGTGGTCATGACAAAAACATGTTTGATATTGTATGTAGTCTCAGAATATGTCCACTGTCTCTTTCCAAATGCTCTCTAGTAATCTGGACAGGGAGAAGGTTTATAACCTCCTTGGATTGCAGTCTCATAAATCCAGAAATGGCAGTTGTTGAGGTTTAGTGTACTTCTACCAGCCCCCAGCCAAAACATGTATCGACTCCATTCTATAATATAGCTCTGTGTGGATCATCTCAATATAATTTAAGGTGTTATGATGAGAGAAAAACAGTGATGTGAATCTGCTATTAGGTGACGGTTACACATAAATCAAACTAATACAAATATTAAAACACGTGGACAATGAAATTTCACTTTTAAGCAGGCAGTTCTGTAAACTAGGTTGGTTTAACTTCTAATAGCTTGCCTTGCCAACATGCTTTGTATCAACGCTCCTCTAAGTCTGGTTTTCTAGCTAGCAGGTATTAGGCAAACATTTAGGAAGGGGATTGCTGAAGGAGAAGATAAGGCATGTGACAAAATGGAAGAGGAGGAGGTTAAGCGGGAGATAAGATTGATGGGATAAATTAGAGAAGGAATGTGTGGGGGAGAATGGAACAAAGAAAAGAAGACAAGAGGCAGATAAAGAACAGCTGCATTCTAAAAACAATATGGGAAAAGAGAACATAGGAAGCTTAACAGGATCACAGAGAATTTCTTTTGTAAAGAGATGTGTGAAATAGCAGATCTAAGGTGAGGTCTGCTGCTAAAGCATAGTGTGGCTTTATGTCGGCCCATTTCAGGAATGTATGTCTGTTGAAGGCCACAGAGTGCTAACGTGCTTTCCTAATTTAAGGGTCTGATTAAACTGTATATTTTCTTGGCTTAGGGTAAGCATAGCCTTGAGGATACAAAACATCAGGCAGTTTTTTCCAAGGCCAGTCTGTGGGTACTTGAAATCAGAAAGCTGTAGAATTTGAAGGAAGAGCAGAAACTCAGTATGGTCACTGTGTCCATAGTCTGTTCTCATCATGCATACAACACGTCATCCATTTTTTCCCCTTATGTAATGAATACATACTTATTGGCATTTTGCCATAGGTGTTTATGGTTGGCATTTAGTGGCACAGCAAGGGTTAGGTTCTGTAGTTTAGAATAGTTAGGTTTAAAGTGGGTGGCAGTGTTGTATAGGGGACAGCGTTGGATTAGGATATGGGGAGACACTGCTTTGAATCTCCACTCTGCCATGGAAGCTTGCTGGGTGACCTTGGGCCGGTCATATGCTCTCAGCCTCACTTACTTCACAGGGCTGTTATGAGAATAAAATGGAGGAACGAAGAACGTTGTAAGGTGCTTTGGGTCCCCACTGCGGAAAAAGGTGGGATATAAATTAAAATAGTAATAATAAATACGGGAAAGATGATTTGGATGATATTTTTACCTGCTGTTTTGTGGAACAGTGCTAATAGACAAGCTGGAATTTCTGCATTCTGTCATCACAACAAACCACAGTTAACAAGCCAGGTAGAAACTGTGGTTTAAAATCATGATCTTGCACCCTGCAGCAAACCAGTTTGCTGGCTGACCAGGATTCAGAAAACACAATAAATGCTTTATCAAATAGAAATTTATTATGACACCTGAATACATTTTAGTGGAACACTAGTAGGAGTAAAATACTGGCATCTATTTGGTTTTCTTATTGGTTCATGGTAAATCTGTATAGTATTTTAGGCTTAACTTTGTATATGCCTCAAAAATATCAGTTGCTCTGAAGTGATTTTTCATGCAGAAGTGGTTCCTTGGTTTAATGACACAGTGCCTTTTTTTAAAAGGTGATTTTCACAATGCAGAGAACACCCAAAATCACACTTTTGAAACTCCTGAAGAAAAAGGTCCTTCAGCCAACATATGTTTGGAAAGACTTTCTGTATATGAAAAAACTCCTGACCAGTCAATAGAAGAGGTCAAGCAGGTCCTGTGTCCACACCTGGACAGAAAACGTAAACATTCTGGTGAGAAAATGCAGAATGATGGAAGCCTTAAAGAAAACTTTATAGAGGAACTGGAGGATGAATTTGCATCAAAAGCAAAAAAGAGGAAGAACTCCAAAGGTAACCAGGTCCAGCTTTGGTATCTCTTCAGCATGTTTTGTGAAATGAGCACTGTTTGAATTAACATGTCCATTTTATGACTGTGATTGTTACCTGAAGGCTAAAAGATCAGTCATTGGACAATGTAGTCATTGGACAATGCAAATGGCTGTAGTGCATGCAAACCCCTTCCTTTTGAAAATGCATAGTGTGGTGGTAAAGCTGAAATGATCTGCCCCACAAGTAAACTATAGCTTTTGTTTCAAGTTGAGGGCCTTTTGATTAATTTTTAGTTATTTTTCCATTAGATGACTGGCCTGAGAGGGAAATGACAAACAATTCCTCTAACCACTTAGAAGAGCCCAATTGTAATGAGGTGACCAACCTGAAGGTGTGCATTGAATTAACAGGGCTCCATCCCAAAAAGCAGCGTCACCTGCAGCATCTTAGGGAACTATGGGAGCAGCAGGTGTCACCAGAGAGATCCCCACCCGGCAAGTTGGGCCGGCAAAGCAGGAAAGATTTAGCTGAGGCTGTTCAGCCAGAGGCCACTGCAAAGGTCAAAGACTGCACAGAAGAAAGGCACACCAAGAAAAGGTCAGAGGTCAAAAGCAATAGAAGTTGGTCTGAAGAGTCCCTCAAAACAAGTGACAATGAACAAGGTATGCAGAGATTACTAGGGAAATTTAGCATTACTTAGTGACGCATGCTGCCACCAGTGCTAAGAAGTGTCAGTAGTTTTTTGTAGAATTTTTATATTATATTATATATATAATATAAAATTTTTATTGTGTATAAAGGACTTAAGCACCACTATGAAAACTTCACTCATGCTTGTTGTGTCAAATCTGTTGCGTGTATGTGTTTTGTGGTGTGTTAATTATGATTTAAGACCCCATCCTAGATGAGGTCTTTTTTTTTTTGCCAAGTGAAAACATTTTGTACATATATGTATTTTAGCATTCTTATAGGTGGAGAATGGTGTTGGTGTCATAACAATTTCTAGTACATGTGTATGTAAAATGAATTAGTCAACTGGAGTGTAATTTTTCTTATAAAAGTCTGAAGAATTCTGATTGCTCATGGGAATAGGCTGCTTTATTAGGTTTTGAACTTCTGAGCTAATTTTTCTCATTCTGTGGAGCTGGTAAAGTACACACATGTCCTTTCTTTTTGCCTCTGTGCGAGGTTATTCTCATCAGCCTGTTTTGTGAGATCTTTTTTCTAATTTCATCTCCATCTGAGAACCAATCTTTGGGCAAAAGCATCAACAAAATTATGGAGGTGATGAAGGTTGTCAGGAGTTGGTGGCACAAAAACAATTAGCTGATTTTGCAGGCAGAGAAGAGGTTTGGTGAACAGCGATTTGCCTATACTGACAAGCCAGGCCAAAATAAACAGCTTCATTGGGCCAGATTGGGACCTATTAGTTCCTTTCAGGGCTGGAAACTTTAAAATTTTTCCTCACCATGTGCAGTGGTAGTGGTGCTGAAGTGGAGCAGAGAATAGGCCAACATTGTTCTCAATGTGCATGCTAATTCCACCCCCAACCAGCTGTCAAGACATATCAACCTTTTCTGATTTTTCTTATATACCAGGGACCCCCGCCCCCAAGAATGCTTTAGTGAAAGAGTCAGCTACCTATAGTGATGTCTGTTGCATCCATACATGTTTGTCATTCATGCACTAGACAGCTTGGATAGGAAATCCCTCTAGTTTTGAATGAGTAGCTTCTGCTGGACTCTTATGTAAGTGTAATTTCTTGTATTGGGGGGTAAAAAGGAAATTGACTTCTTACTACTGTCATCCCACATATCCTATTGGGCACTGTACACTTTCATTGACGAGATCACAAGTAAATACTTCAGTTGAGAGACCAAGAGCTTCTGCATCTTTAGGACTCAAGTCTGTTTCTTTGGGGCTCTGCTTGAATGTCCTAAGAGCTTGCAGATTGGCATATTTTGCTACTGTTTAATGTCTGCAACAGGAGAAAAGAAGAATGTAAACTTGTTCACCATCTGTCTAGCTCAGAAGAAGTAACTGCATCATGCTTTTCCTGTGAATGTGGGCAAACTGTTTTTTGCCTTTTTGAAGGAAATGGGATATTGGCTCTAGTTGTCTCACTTTAAGTTAACTTAGGTTTTTGCCTCACAGGACACTTACACATCTCCTGATAACATTGATGATGTCCTGGGGCCTGGTGTGCTTTGTTTCCACTGTGCGCTGTAGTCAGAGAAACAGAGCTGGGTCTTAGACCTAGTTGTTGCTAAATCAGGAAACATGTTTCGGGCTGAACCACTTCAGGTGGTCTTTGAGGGTTCAAGTCAGAAAATATGAGTCCCCAGAATATCAGAACAAAGAAGTCAAACTCATAAACAGCTTGAATTCAGGGAGAAGGTTTCAAGCTTAAGTATTCTCCTTATGGAGGACAGGGTTTTCTTGATGAAGGAACATTTATGGTATAAGATCCCTCCTTGCATCTTTAGGAGTACACAGGAGAACTAGACCTTAGGCCCTATTTAGAGGGTTCACCAGTTTTCAGGAGTGTAGGTTGGCTGTAATGCACTATTAATTCAGCTGTCATATTCACAAGGAAGAGGAGGTCTTCCTTAGAAAGATTAAGGTATCTTAGGTGCCATTAGTCCAGCACCTTCCTGTTCCTGGTTTTCATTCTATTAATCTATCCTGTGATTTGTAGAAGCAGAACTTCAGAAACCTTTGCTTTCATATGTGCATTCAAGTACTACAGGCTCTTCTAATTTTATAATTTCTTTTAGTAATTGCTTTAGTTTAGTGATCATTGGTTCTATTGGACCCCTTTAACTTCTTCTGAATCTAAGTTTTGATTCCTCTTACTTCAAATACATGAAAACCAGCCCACTGACATCCTTGCTTTCTTTTTGTCACATCTTCATGCTGCAGATGTGGAATGAACCTAGAAATTGTGTGAAAGTATTTTTGTGCTTCTGGAAGTTTAAAAGTCAAACAGGACTAATATATTCTTGTTGACTGTGCACCTGGAATTTTTGCAGGACAACTAAACTTTTCTTGAAAGTAAGGTGATGTCTGTTCATTTTACTGGAATTACAGCTACTTGTTGATAGGGATTATTATACAACTCCTCTCAGGGAAATTGCTTCTGGATCCATGAAACCATTTTCAGAATGCCTGAAGAAATGGCCTAATGCTTTCTTCATTTTTCGTATACAAAAGGAGATTTTTCAAAGGCAGAAATGGGAACTGGGTACTTAAGTACCATTTCAGCTCCTTTGAGTTTTCCCCTTAATACTGCTTTACAAAAAAGCAAGGCAACAACAGTCTTCCCATGGT